CGAGATTACCGTTTTTGACCCCAACATGAGGTCTTTTTAATTATTTCATACTTTGCTACGATTTTTCGGGACCTTCGTATCTTCGTAAAAAGTCTATAGTTTCTTGTATGCTTTTTCGGGACTTTTAGCCATTGATTCCTTTGTGACCGATTTTGACTCTAACAATCGTCGTCTCCGGCTCCTCCGCCTCCATAGGAAACTGCGAACTCGTCGGCAAAGCATTAATGGATCTCATAGCGTTAAATCAACCAGTTTCACCGCACTAATGATAGGTTTTAGCTATCTAGAACTCTTGTAACAATGTAAACACTCCTTTATCAATGAAATAAGAAGTACAGCTTGAGTATGAATCAATCTAAGCTCTCAAGGCGAACTTAGATCAAATCCAGCAGTCTCATGGCGACTGTGGTGTAAAGACTCATATCGTCAGTTACAAACGACATCAAACATAATCTCTAACACATTCAAGTTTACTTCTTATACTACCAGAATAACCGACTCTCGGCTCTAACTGATAACCCTTCTTTTCACTTAGATTCTTTGCTTCCTTCTTTTCTTATTTCAAATCTCCAACGGCTACTGCCACATCATCTACTTCCTCCTCACCACTCAACTCTTTACCGTTCCTCTTCCTGAAGTACACCTTCTTGAACCTATCATGAACATAAACAAAAAAAATATTTGAACATGGATAAATATATGGTTTATAATAACTGTAAGGAAACGAGCACTTCAATTTCACATGTTTGACTCACAGTTACGAAACTTGGATTTCGGCGATGAGTGCTTAATCTTCGGTGATTCACAGCTTACAGTGGTGTGTGTTGGTGGTTGGTGGGGACGAAGGCAGTGGAAATCCTAATCTCTGCATACAAATCCTAGAAGTAGATACAAAGATTAAGAAGAGGAAGAGAGAGAAGGCAGAGCATGCTTGCTGATGGGGAGCAATGGGGGTGCTACATACTGGTGGTAGTGAATATGGTGAATGTTGAGGGGTCTCGTGTATTTAGTGAAAAACATTGCTCTAGTGGTGCATGTTAACGTCGGTGGTGATCCTCCTCCAATGACGACATTTTCCGCAGAGACATTATGAGAAGACAAAGAAAAGGAGAGAAGGATGGAAGAGGGGAGGAGAAGGAGAAGAAGATCGAGAGAGGGGGGGGGGAAGAAGATCGAAAGATGGTTTAAGATGGTGTATGAAGATTTTGTGGTTTTTCTCTCTCACACTAGTTAAAATGGTGGTGGCTGGATGGGAAAATATTCTAATATACCCCAGTTAGAAAATAACTATTCTAACTACCCCACCATTTTTCTCACTGTCCCATTTTTTTTTTTGTTCGTAGTAGTTTCTAGTAATTCAAGGTAGTTTGTTTTTTGTTCATAGTAGTTTCTAATAATTTAAGGTAGTTTCTAGTAATTCAAAGTAATTCAAGGTAGTTTCTAGTAATTCATATTACACATAATACTGATTCATTAAGGGTTATTGATTTTTTAACCATATTTTGACTTTGAGAAAGAAAAAAAAATCAAATTTATGATGGGTTAAAATAGAATAAAAATGGTAGTGAGTGGGGCAGTGTAGAATAAAGTCCGACTGGATGTCGTAAAAACAGAAGATTTGTATATATATATATATATATGTTTGCGTGATTAAATCATGGAAAATTAGATGGTTTAGGTTTAATAAATATGCCATATTTATTTGCATGTCGCAGCGACCTATGATTGCGATCTGCGACCAAATGTTATTCATTTGGTTGTCGCAAGATCCTTTTACTAGTCATTGAATTTTTTAATTTTTATTTACTAAATTTTAGTGATAGGAAATGACGGCTTCATAGTCATTGATTGCCGGCCAGTTCTATCAATAGTTCTTCAAATAAAAATACACTTAAAGAACTGTTAATATGCCTAAGCAGAAATTTATTTCTTTAGGAGCATAACTGAAATTGGCAGTTAAGGAAAAGACACTTTGTGGCTTCTTTCTATAAACACATACCCAAAAACAGAGGAACTGACTTCACACTCTATACCCAAATCTAGGAGTGATAACGAACCCATTTCCCCTAAATATCACTAGAAATAAAGCATATAACCACATCGATCCTTTGACTCATGACTGATTCCAAAATTTTGGAGATTATAAATACTTTAACAAAAAATATCAAAATTTATAACAATTTGAGGTTTTTGTTTATTGATCTTCAGATTTTTATGCTAATGTTTCACTAGCAAATATTCAGGACCAGTCTTACTGCAACTAGATCCAAAACCACATACAACAAGCTGAGTAGAAGAACACTAATTCCTCCCGGTAATACTAACGAAGACGGAGGAGATGGATCTCCATGAAATCCTGGGAAAACCGTTGAGCTCATGAAGCTAGTAAGGCTAAGACAACTATCGCACATAAACCATTGTAGTAAACTCTTTTAAAACAAGGTCATTGTCGTCAAATAAATAAAAGAAAATAGAAGAGATGGAAGGTAGACAAAAACTAGCACACAACCGTCGATGAACATATAACATCCCGAGTTATCATATACGGAAAGATTTAAGAGAATTTATTTAGCTACCTATATTACCAAAGTGCATTTATCTTTTCAGGAGCACATCTAAAGAGAACTCCAGAGTTAAGCGTCTTAAGCTGGAGTAGTCAAAGGATGGGTAACCTATCGGGAAGTGATTTGCGATACCGTGTAAGTGAGGCCAAAGCACGGAGAAAAGGCGGGTGGTGATTGTAGGGTCAGTAAACATGACTCTAAAGCCTTGAAAAATTAACAGACGGACCGTTGGAATGGGATGGGGCCCATGGGCCGAATGAGCGGGCGTGGGTGATCCATTAGCCGTGGACTGTCGGGGCGTTACAAGTGGTATCAGAGCTGGTTAGCCATCTCAGTTATGACCTGAGAGGCGTCTTGAGACATGACGTAGGGCGCAACGAGGACGTTGCGTTCTTTGAGAGAGGGTGAATTGTAACATCCCAAGTTGTGATATATGGAAAGATTTAAGAGGATTGATTTAGCTACCTATGTCACCAAAGTGCACTTACTTTTACGGGAGCACATCTAGAGAGAACTTCATAGTTAAGCGTGCTTAAGCTGGAGTAGCCAAAAGATGGGTGACCTATCGGAAAGTGATTTGCGGTACCGTGTAAGTGAGGCCAAAGCACAGGGAAATGGCGGGTGGTGATTGCAGGGTCAGTAAACATGACTCTAAAGCCTTGAAAAATTAACAGACCAGCCGTTGGAAGGGGATGGAACCCATGGGCTGAGAAAGTGGACGTGCATAGTCCATTAGCCGTGAGCGATCGGAACGTTACAGAAAATTTAAAATAAAAAGCTATCTCATAGAGTCAATAAAGAGCCAAAAATACCAACAAATATACTAAGAGTTGAACTGAAGGAAACAAACTGAACTAAGGAACTACTCGATACGTTCCCAAAAGTAAGGTTTTCTAGATTTTTTTTTCTTGTTCCACAAAGATAGTTTTCTATATTTTTAAGATACTATACTTTTGAAAAACATTAATTGAAAAATATTCAAATTCATTAAATTTCATTAGGATAATTATTGAAAAGTGTAACTCTACATAGCGGACAGAAGTTAAAACTAAAACGAAAAAAAAAGTTATTAGCGGATGGTGATTGCGATACCCTGAACCACTACTTTCTCTTCAATTATCAACCGAGAGTGTTGATTACGTTAATTCAGTTTCGTAAATGGGATCTTCCTATTCTATTTTGAAACCAATTCTTTGTATTTTTCTATTCTTTATAATGGAGAAGAATTACAAAATTACTCACAGCTAGCGTATTGGGTGGTTACTACTCCATCCGTTCCTTAAAGATACATATTCTAAAAAAAAAATTTGTTTCTAAAAGATCCATTTTTTACATTTTCAATGCAAGTTTTATTAACTAATTGTAAACTTCAAAAAAAATTAATTGCACTAATTGCTTTTTCATTGGTTTAAATTGTGAAAATAAGATAAAAAAACTATGTAAATTATTATGTTTTATTAAAAAGTGTGTAAAACTAGAATATGAATCTCTTATAAACAAAGGGAGTATTTTATTTCTCAATTCGTTGTTGTTATCTCCTACATGAAATCCATGACCATGATTGAGGACAAGAAAATCATCATGTCATTAAATCCAGATTTAAGTGATATGTTATGGAAACACCGGTCACCAATAAAACTACTATGGATTCAACATGAAAAAAAATCTAAAGACAAGAGGAAAAAGTATAATGTACAACCAAATCTTTTTCAAGGCTTATATTTTGATACAATTTATGTTTGGTATCAAAATATATTTTTTTTTTTGAAATCATGGACTACATCATTTAAGAAGGTAATATCTTTGTTGAATCACGATGTTATTATAATCGTTGAAAATTGATCATTCCAATTATTATTTTTATGGTTAAATCAGTACATTGGGTTCTGAACCAAAGAATTTGATAAATCTTAATTAGAATTAGACTAATATAATACAACAAGAGAACATATACTCAAATGCGGCAAAGATTTAAAGTTCGCATGAAACTCTATCATCGTTTTAATTATTTTATTTATTGTTTTTCATGACTGTATATATATCTACTATAATTAAAAGGGCTTATTCTAGCCTTCTTAAGCTGTCCACGTTGGATCAAATAATCAACCAATCAGATAGTTTAAATTTGCCACGTCACTTCTGCTTGAGATAATAAACACGATTCGCTTTCTCTGGCTTCACCTTCTCCGTTACCCCTTCTCGCGATCTTCATCACCATTAACAATCAAACTTACTCTTTACTCTTTCTTCACCATCTCTTTTCTGTAATCTCCTTCCAGGTATGGGTTTCCTTTCGATTTCGCCTCACTACTTTCGATCCCTAATTGCATCCTCGATAGTAAAGTTTCATTGAACTTTCTAATAGTCTATTTTCTTAGACTACTGGGGTTTGTTGATTGACCTTTAAACCCAGATCGAAAGTGCTTTGTGGATTGCATGAAAGTCTCAAGGTAATTTCTTCATGGGATTTCAATTAAAGATATACATCGCAGGTGATTTTTCTTGGCAAATCACTTTGAGAGTTGCTATTATTACTTTACCATTTTTAATATCTTTGACACTTTTATTTCTGAGTAAGTGATTCCTTGAATTTTTCTCTATTATTATTTCTGATTACTTTTACTCTCTTTTGCTTCCCTTCCGTTTTTTTAAAAAAATCTCAGGAGATGGCGACAAGGTTTGATCGGTAGGATCAGCTCCACAGGGACCTTCACGCCGTTCTCAGAACTACCAAATGGCAGGTTTCATTCTTTCTCTCCTTCTCTGCTCTCATACTGTTTCATTGTCAGTATCTTTTCTCTGTAGTTAGATGAGTTCCAACGAGCTGTTCAATCTAGCTATGACAATGGTTTGAAAGGTGAAACTCGAGTCAGGCATAGTAAGTGTGAGTTTACTTTCGCTATGGAGACTCAGGATGTGAAGATAAAGAAGTCTCACAAAGAAGCTAGCGAAGGAACTCTGAGACGGTTTGTTTGGCGAAGATAATCAAGATGGTCGTAATGATCTTGCCCTTTTTTGGCTGGGCCATCTGACCCTGAAAGGAAATAACTTTCCACAAATGGTGTAAAATAGTTCAGCTTCAAGGACATAGAAGGACGGCGAGTGATATCATGGTGCTTTGATTGCTGTTTCTGATGATGGGGTACTCTACAAAGCTTTGGCGAGCCTTTGTCCGACCTCCACGAAAATTTCCCAGCTTCTCACCTCCACAAAAAATTCCCACCTTCTCTGGCTTCTTGAAATATATGGAGTCTGGCTCCAAAAACCCCTTTAGAAAGTGGAAGGCCTTAGATCGCCAAGGAGACTCTGATGCTGCATTGTTACCTATCCAAACTAACCAAGCAAGATCTTCCAATGTAAGGTTTTTCCCTTTTGTTTACAATCTCTTACTAAGAAGCTTTCTTACCTTTTCAACAGAAATGTTTTGATAGGGACAAGATTTGTATGGAGTGAGTGCAAAGAGCTGCATGTTAATGTAATCTGCTAACAAAAAAGTCTTCAGGATGCCTAATTCTGATGCTAGGGCTAGATTTGCCACTGCCTCCTCTTTTCAAAGATGTCATGGGAGAAAAAACATAATTCCGCAGGTACATGCATCTTGCTTTAAACTGTTAAGTTACAGCTATTTGAAACCCTCCGAAATATTCTGCTCTGTCCCTTTCACAAAATGTATTCTTAGCTACGCTAGAAAAGTATAAATTTCACTTTATGAAAATATATTACACTTGGCTGAGACACATTAACACTGCTAACTGTTTAGTGGATTAGTCGCTGTCCTAGAGAATAGATTATACTGTCTTTTGTGAGTTAGGAAGCGAAGAATTCTATGACTTCTTCAACCTGTAGTAGCCTTTAGGCTTGCCATTGCGTCTTTGAGTTTGTAGTAAGCAGAAGCTAATTTCTTTGATGTTTGGGTCAGGTTGCTCTATTCGATCTGTTGAAGAAGTTTGATGAACATCACAACGAAATAATATTGTTTGCGTACGGTTCAGTGGGAGGATTTCCGACCATGACAGGTGGTTCCAAGATGACGAATCTGCTCTTATATGTTTGTGATCCTCTTATCTTGCTCAAAAATCGCTTCCCCTAGAGGTATGGATCTCCTAAGTCATTTGTTTTTGCATTTAGTTGTAACAGAGTAACTGCTGTTACGAAGATTGAAAAAATTATGTTCTATGTGTCGTAGATCATTTGATTTGATGTGTAATATGAAAATTTCTTAGACTTTTTTCAAATTTAGAATCTTGAGAGGAATCACAAAAGCTGGCAGATTACTCAAGTGTAAGTTTTCATTTGTAGTTAGCTTTCTAATATCTTATAAGTTATAGCTTTCTAATATCTTATAAGTTATTTATTCCTAAATAATGAAAAAGCATTACCATCTTTGATTTGTGTTTTGCTTTTCTGTTTCAGCTATGGTTTTTATAACGATTGTTTGAGGAAGTACGGGAATGCATTACCATTAGAAACTGATGTTAGTTTGTTACTCTCAAACACAAACAGCCTACTACAAGGTACATTTTAAAAAATTTAGTCCAAAATGGTTAAATTCAATCACATTTTGTTTGTCCAAAAAGTTTGATAATGTCTCATTGTTTGAACACTGAAATAAGGTATTGTTGGGGGAGTTATGTACATTAAAAGGACATACAACGATGCAATGCAGCCAATTCAGAGTATTATGCAAGCAAACAAGTTGACCGATATGTAAAAGCCTCAAAATCTTGGAAAGTTTTATTCACTGCGTTTCTTTTCAAGTTTAGAAATGCTTCCCTGAAGAAACTGCAGTGGACCAACCATCTGAGTCGGTGTATTTGATTGTCTCGCCAACCTCCTCCATGACGATTCGGTGGTCAATGGTGTTCAGCCTAAGCTCAAATTAGCGACAAGCGTCAATCCTAAGTTGCTCGGAGGTATGGTTCGTTCTAATAACTATGTCTACTTAATGAATCCCGCTTCTCATTACATTCGTGCATAACAATTGACATTCTTTGCTCCTCAGCTCACTCTATTAAATGTTGCATACCCCAAGGAATGTGGGATGTTGCTTCTTCCTCTGCCTACGGTTGCTGAGCTTAATGCATACGTTCTCAACTCTGGCCCACAGGTGAAATATTTCACTCATCTCTTACTCAACTCTTCTTACCTCCGTATACATAAATGGTTTCCCATCTATAATGTGGACATGCTGTGAGTTTCTTTGCAGGGGGAGTTGACAATATTGAAACTACAAATGGATAGTGCTCCACCTCATTCTCGAAATGGTCTAAAAAGCTTCAGCATGGTCACATCATTTACATGTGTATCATAATGACGTTGGTGTTCTAAGGAGATCCTTCTTAAACTCATATTTACTGATATTTTTACAGCAATGACAGCAATATTAAACTCACCAGCGTTAACAAATCTTGCCACCTTTATATATGCAGTATCGTGTCCAAACCTCTGATTCAGATAGCTCGGAGTCGGCTGTCTTTGTGGCTTTTGATGTGAAATGACAAAGCTAACCAACACTCGTGCTGCAGATGTTGTACAACTTATGGTAGCACTAACCAATAACCATTCCAATTCATGTGGCAAACACTTGACAAGCACAACCACTGAAAGAAAGGATAAGTTAGGATTCTCTGGTGATCACTCCAATGACACTTACCCTTCCATTTTAAACATAGCTTTTCAATAACAAAAAAATAATTACATCACTTTAGAGCTGAGGATGAGCTACCTTTCCGTCCAATTGTATTACCTATGTTCAAACTATCCAACGAATTATCCAACGAATTACATGCCATAATAACGTCAAAATTGATAAGGTGTTAATAAGCTTGATTCAAACGTCAATATGATCTAGATATTGAATTTCCGGATATCTGAAAAGCTATAATTTTAACATTGTATCTGATCTATACAAATAAAAAATTATTATAAACTAATAATATTCTACTATAAAATAAATATTATTAATTATTTAAACTCTAACAACTAAATAATTAATTTAGTATATAAAAGATGGTAAATTTTACAAAAGTATAATAAATATATAACTTATAAATATAATAATTTTAATATATGTATATATATTCCTATAACAAATAGGGAAATATATCCATTTTAAAATATTAATATTGTAATTTACTTCATTTTTATGAATATTGTATATTAATATTGTAATTTACTTCATTTTTATTGATATCCAAATTTTCAGATATAATCAAAACAAAACAAAAACGACCAAAACATATTTTACAAATATTTTTCCCGCTCTTATCTCTAGCGGCCCATAATAATACACGTCAATTTCCCAAAATTGTACCAAATAACATGGAAATTGTATCTTCAAAGACAAAAAAATGACAAAAAAACACACAAACAATCAGTTTTTTTTTGTCGTTAAAATGCTTTTTATTAATTAAAAATACAAGACATTACAAATTAAAAACGCGGAAAATAAAAATAGAAGATGGTAGAGGAAACAGACTAGAAGAGACATGGGGGAATACATCAAGATGAAAACTAAAGAGATAGGAGGTCCTCTCCAAGTGCGTTTCTTAGCTTTGTCGTAGATAAAGCTTTATTTCTAACATGAGAGCTTTATAGAAACACATTGTAGGAGGGCGAGTGAGGCCCTTATGGACCGTCTATTCCTCTCTTTCCAAGTTTCGTAGATGCAGGCACCAACCTTGAATAAAGCCATATGACTGACCATTAGAGAGGTAGTTGCTGGGAGCCAAAGAAGGATGAGATTCCACACTATAGATGGGCTTTGACGACCTATTCGTAACATTATTTCGCGCAATACAATTGATGAGTAGTTACACTAAAAAATAAACGATCTATTGATTCATCACTTTGGTACCTGTCTTCTAATTAAACCATGTAAAAGGATACCAGGAAATCCTCTGCCTTTGCGTCCAAATCACGTTCCACAACTTTGAAATACACCGAAAACATTTGTATAAATATTTTCAACCACAAACAATCACAAAATACCAAACTCTAAAAAACCCCAGAAATTCACATAAACGCATAATCTCAAAGGCCAAGTGAAAATACATCCGCCAATTTCAAAAGAAAACTCATCGTAACAACTAGGTAAACCTTCATGGAACTACAAATCCGCTTAACCAAAATAAACTATATATAACACAATTACTTAACAACATATTATATCTAACACATAACTTGAAAGTAAATGGAAATAAGTGGCATCATCTAAAAACCATAAATGTTTTCTAATACTATAATTTTGAACTAAATTGTAAGTAAAGAAAATGCAAGCTTAGTCGTCTAAAGAAAAAGAATAAAATAAGTTGAGATTAATCAAATATTTTTATAATAATCTAAATATATCAGATAAAAATATTTTTGATAAAAACTAAGGTTTACCAAATTCTTTAATTCTACTCATATTATTGTAAAAATAATACATGGTGAGTTCTACTCATATTTAATTCAATCTATTATTTATATAATCTTGTGAACATTGATCTAATATATAAAATTAAACGTAAAGATATTTATACAAATTACCCGGGCGTAGCCCGGGAAAAGTCGCTAGTTTATGTAATTTGTTTATAACTTATCAATATATATATTTCAGTTACTAAAATGATGTACAGAAAAATTAAATAATAAATAAAATAATAAATATTTGTTATATTTTTAAATGTAAATATTCTAGAAAATCTTATTTTCGAAAACTGAGGAATATTTACATTGCATCAAATGTCTTTCTCGAAGACACCATACAAACCGAAGTGGACTTACATATATTTGTGAGAAAGTGAAATATAAAATTATATATATAACATAACATTTTTAAATTAATACTCTATAAAGTAATATATACTAAAACTTTCTATAAATAATACAATTTTATAGTTTTATATTAAATTTTTGATTCAGTAAATATATCAATAAATTAATAAAAAATTATAGTTTTGATGTATTTCAACATTATTAATTTACAGAGATTCACTATATAACTTACACTAGAAGTTTTGATAAACTCCAAGACATCTTCACTAAAGCAGTAAAGTCAAAAGTGTTCAATCACATTCAAGTAAAGTTTTACTTATTTGAACTTCATCGGACAAACTTCGGTGAAGGGGGATTGTTTATTTATTTATTATTGAATCTGATAAACTCCCAGACATCTTCATTAAAGCAGTAAAGTCAAAAGTGTTCAATCATAGAGTCATTTAATTTAATTGACTGTTTCTTTGATTTAAATACATATATAAGTTCGTATATAAAGTAGATAAGTTAGTCATTTATATTAAGTCACAATATATTGAATAGGTCCAAATTAAATTAATAGATCATGTTTATATTTTATGCAAACTTTATATAATGACATTTCCTATACATGTAAAATGTGGAATATACTTGTTTAGTTTATTAATTTCATTAAACATAGTATTTTTAAAAATGCAGGATAATCTTTCAGTGAAAATTTTATATAACCACATTTTTGTTTTATATAAAGTAGATATGTGCACAAAATCCATAACTCGACGTCTAAATTCAATCTAAACAAAAAAATTTGAATCAGTAACCGGTAAAAAATCTAAAAATATATCAGAATGAGTTTTGTACGATGGTACAAAATATATCCGAATCAAAGTGTTATTAGCCAGACCCGAACAAATAAACAAAAAACCGAAAAACCTGGAAAAAATCTGAATCGATCTGAATGTCCAAATTAATCATAAATATAAATATTTGAAACATAAATATCTATTTTAAATATTCAGTTCTATATTTATTTTAAAATGATATTTAAATTAATTATATAAATTTTAAATAAGTACTTTAATATCCAAATCTTTAAAAATAAGTATTTTTTTTTGTTTTGATTTTAGATTTTAGATTTCCAAACCAATATAACCCGAATCCGAATAATAAATGGTTACTTTATTGGTTTTAGGATGTATACAAATTCGAACCAAACCCGACGTGCTATATTTGAATCTGATACATATTTACAAACATGCTTACTTACAAATTATGACACCTATAATGTGATATATATAGTTTTGATTCAAAATATTCGATTGTATCCCAATAGATACTTGAACTCCCAAACATAACTTAAATTATGTTTTATATGTTATTAAATTAATTTTATATTTGATAAATATTTTGTCAGTTTATTGGAATAATCCATAAAATTATAATCATAAAATATCACTAATAACAAGTTTCATCATATAATTAAATATTAATTGTAGCTATTTTCAAACTTTGTCTATGATAATTATATTATTATGTATTGGCGTAGGTTTGAAGAATTTGTTTATTATTATTTTGTGTATCAGTTACATATAATTAAATATTATTATTTATATCTTAATGTTTTACTTTAGATATAATATAAAAATATTTCTTTTTAAATATCTTATGGTAGTGTTTTTTTATTTTGTAAATGTAATTCATTTAGTTTATAATTTATAAAGTATATTAAGTTATATTATAATTATTATTTTGTGTAATGTTTAGTTACAAATTTGAAATATTTATATATAAATGTTATAGAAAGTTACCTCTTATTTTATAAATCAAAATGAGTTAATATTCATTTGTAATTTAATTTAATATTGTTTTCCGTTTTTTGTTATTAAATAATATTAAAAGAATAGATATTTATTTTTAAAATAAAAGTATATTAAATATATTGTTAAAAGATAAATTCAAAAGTAGGTAAGAGTATTTTTTCATATTTTATTTTGAGTATATTTAAATAAAATATTAATATTATGTGTTTATATAATAATAATTAAGTTTGTTGTATCTAATAATATAAAATTAGATAAATGTAATGTTTTAATCTGTACTATTTGCGAATAGATAAAATATACTTTTGTTTTAATAGTATTAATTGGTGATTTTCTTATTAATATAAACCTGGACAACTTGATATATTATCTAAAATCAATCATGATTCCCCCACCGCCCACCACCATATTTTTATTTAGAGAGTAGGTTAACAGTGATGGGATTCCATTAAAAAATATCCCTTCCTCCAAATTATTCGATCATGAATTATGAATATATTAATTACGAGATTAGCTATACTTTGTTTTCGTAGCTATATATCAATTCATTTTTTTTCTGTTTTTAACAACAAACGGCTTATCTATTACTCAAGTTTGAAGTGGTCTGGGAAGCCAAATCAGAATAAAACAACCAACATCGAGCAGATTTAGCTAAAGAGTTAGCAACACTATTCAACGTCCTAAGAACATAGAAGATCTTGAAATCTGGAAAACAAATCCGCAGCGTCATGATCTTTTCTAACTCCGTTGAGAAACTTGGCCAGTCATGAGAATCTCTAATCATCCCTATTAACTCCTTCCAATCCGTCTCAAAGCTCTGACGTGACGAATGTTGAAATATGTTCACCATTGTCCATCACAGTGCTTCTAACTCAGAGTGTAAAGCAGTCTCATTTCTACTAAAATTAAGCATTTATCAATTCATTTAAATCACGTTATAA